TCATATATGTTTATTATATTTTTTTTGGTTTACTAAATTTTTTAGTAATTTGCATTGAAAAACTCGATTTTGTATATATATATATATATATATATATATTTTTTTTTTAAAATGCTTTAGTAAACAGCCGCAATATTGGGGTTTTTTTTTTAAGAATTGATAATATTAATAATATTATTTGATGTTTTTTTATTTTTTTTTAGAAAGGGTGTCAGATTAATTTACGGAAATAATTTATTTATCAGCTTAAAAACAGCTATATATATATGTACAATAATTAGCTTTGAATTAGAAATTAGCAATGTGGGACAAAATAAATATTCTAATAATTTAACTATACAAGGCCTAATAAACCCATTACTTCTCGTAATACTCCCCCCCCTCTCAAGTTGGAGCATGGAGATCTCGAATGCCTAACTTGCACAAAATTCTTTTGAACGGACGTCTTCCAAGTGCTTTAGTGAAGATATCCGCCAACTGATTAGTAGTAAAAACATGTTGTGTCTGAACAATTCCAGCCTGTATATCGTCTCTAATGAAATGGCAATCAATTTCCACATGTTTCGTTCTCTCATGAAACACAGGATTATCTACAATATGAAGGATAGACTGGCTGTCACAATATAAATCCATTGGACCAGAATGTGCAATACCTATTGTTAACAACACACTCTTTAGCCACTTCAACTCCTTCAATCCAAAACCATAGCTCCATACTCTGCTTCAGTTGAAGAGCATGATACAACATCCTGCTTCTTTGACTTCCATGCCACAGGAGAATTTCCCAACTGTATTAACCATCCACTCAAAGATCTCCGTGTGATTGGACATCCAGTCCAATCTGAATCACACCAAGCTGTAAGATGAAAATTACAATCAGATTTCAATAAAATTCCATTTCCGGACATCCTTTCAAATAACGAACAACTCTCAATGCAGCCATCCAATGATCCTCTCTTGGCTCATTCATAAATTGAGACAATATGTGAATGGAGTAGGCAAGATATGGTCTAGTTGCAGCTAGGTAAATCAACCTTCCAACCAGTCTCCGATACTTCTCAGGATCAGCAAGTATCTTTGTTGTCGATCTTCCCAATTGATGATTTGGCTCCATTGGAAACTCAACAGGTCTACCCTATGCATTTCTAGCAACTTCCAATCCAAGCAAACCGACATCAGCAAAAATATCCAAAGCATACTTTTTCTGTGATAAGTATATACCCTATGCATTTCTAGCAACTTCCAATCCAAGAAAATATTTCAATTTTCCTAAATCCTTCATATGAAAGCAATTGCTTAAATACGTTTTAAACTTTTGTATCATCTCAGGAGAGCTTCCTGTCACCACAAGATCATCCACATACACTAGAACGTGCAAGTGAACTTTATCACGAACTAATGAGAAAAGAGAGTAATCAGCTTTACTCTGTGTAAAACCATACACCAAGAGTGCCTTCGAAAGTTTTGCGAACCAACATTGTGGAGCTTCTTTCAAACCATACAGCGACTTGCGCAAACGACATACCATACCCTTCTTAGAAGCACCAAAACCCTGAGGTACCCTCATAAACACCTCTTCATCCAAATCCCCATGAAGAAACGCATTGTGCACATCCATTTGATGTAGCTCCCAATTTTTCCCAGTGGCAACTTGAAGAACCAATCGAACTGTGCTCATCTTTGCTACAGGAGAAAATGTATCAGAATAATCAATCCCCTCTTTTTGATGATTGCCACATGCCACAAGTCTTGCCTTATACCTTTCAATTGAGCCATCCGCATTATACTTAATCGTGTAAACCCATTTACACTCAATTACATGCTTACCTGGTGGTAACTGTTCAATCAACCAAGTTTAATTTCGTTCCTGGGCTTCAATCTCCAGTCTCATAGCTTCTCTCCATCGCGGATCCTTCATAGCCTCAGCAAAAGTTTTTGGCACAACTCCTTCAATTATACTACACAGAAATGCCTTGTGTGATACAAATAACCTTTCACAATTCACATAATTCTCAATGTTGTAATCATTACTCATCTCCTGACTTACAGTGGCTGTGTTCATTGTAAATGTCGTATTACACACATAATCACGTAACTTGACAGAAGTTTCTTTCTTTCTCATCCCTCGTCCCAAAGTTTCTGTTGATGCAGGCTGTTGCACAGTTTCAGCCTGTGTCACCGATGCAAGTTCTGTCACTAAAGCAGACTGCACATTCTCTGATCGTGTAACCGATGCAGGCTCTGTCACTAGAGTAGGCTGCACATTCTCAAACTGTGTAACCGATGAAGGTTCAGTATGTGGCGATGTAATTCCTAAGATATTGCGTATTTCGTTTCCTATAGTCTGTCTTTTTTCTTCTGCAATCTTGTCTGACACAACCTGAGTCTGTGTCATTGTATCTCTCGTGAGAGGTTGTATAATTTTCCTTGTCAAAGCAGGTACTATATCGTCAAATCCAACATTATCATCCACATATAACCTCGTTTGATCACAATTAGAAGGCTCATCCAACTTTACATTTTCTAGCTCCAAATATGGGAACCTTTCCTCAATAAAAGTGATATCCCGAGAAACAAAAATCTCATGAGTGTCCAAAATCAAATAAGTTCTAGCCCTTCTTTGCATAAGGGTATCCCAAAAATACACATTTTCTGCTTCTACTCGTAAATTTATCGCCATGACGTTTCTGATTGTGAGCATACGCTAAACATCCAAAAACTCGTATCTCACTATAAGCAGGAGCTTTTCCAAATATGATTTCATAAGGACTCTTACCATTGTGTAACATAGAAGGCGTACGATTGATTAGATACGCAGCACTTAAAGCACAATAACTCCAAAATTCTATTGGTAAATTTGCCTGAAATCTCAACGCTCGTGCGACGTTCAATATATGTTGATGTTTTCGCTCCACTCTGCCATTTTGTTGAGGAGTTCCCACACACGAAGTTTGATGAATTATCCCTGATGTACGAAAATACTCCTTCATACCCATGAATTCACTACCATTATCACTTCGCACGATTTTCAGATGTTTCTCAAACTGACGCTTAATGAGAGCAAATAAATCTACCATTGTTTTCTGAACTTGTGTTTTGTCAGCAAGAAGAAAAACCCACACAACTCTAGAATAATCGTCCACAATAGTTAAAAAATAATAGGATCCACACACGCTCTGTGTTCGATATGGCCCCCACAAATCACAATGAATCATCTCAAAGCATTCTTTGCTTTTCTCTGTACTCACAGGAAATACATTCCGACACTGTTTTGCTCGGAAACAGACATCACAATCAGAAACACCAACACTCTTTTGATCCACTTCTGGCAATCTTCTAATAATCTTTTCAGAAGCATGTCCCATCCTTTTATGCCAAAGTTCCAAAGATCCCAAATTATTGACCTTCGCCACATTCACGATCTTCTGAATACTTTGAAGAAAATACAATCCATCTTTTCTTTCACCCACTGCAATCAAAATCTGCAAAGCATGATCCAGTACCCGACACATTTGCTTGGAGAACAACACAATGCAATTCATTGCATCAATAATCTGTGATACGGATATGAGATTGCACTTGAGTTCCTTGACAAAAAGCACATGTGTCAAAGTTAACTTCTCCGTTAATGCCACACTTCCTTCTCTATCAGCAACCACAACATTTCCATTAGGAAGACCCACTAAACATGGTGAGACTTTATGCACATCAAACATACCACTTAACGTGTCCGTCATATGGTGCGGCGCACCACTATCAATAATCCACTCATCTGTATAAATGTTATCACTCACACGATTTGCCATCTCTAATCTCGAATCAAGCCATCTAACCAGCTTATGCCATTGATCTTTCTTGAGCCCTGTCACAGCCTGTGGATCAACCTGTGACGCCTCAGTGTGTGACACACGTTTCATAGGTTTTCCATACTTCTCCAGCCACCAATCTGGATATCCATATACCTGATAACATGATCTCACATCATGACCATACTTCGAACAATGAGAACACATAATTTCTCGACTTTGAAATCTCATATTTTCTAAAAAAAACAGAGAAATTTCCAAATTTTCTTCACCGAATAAATAAAACTCAAGCCTTTATGGCTTTGTAAAAATCCCGAACCTCGTCGGTCCGAGTTCACCACCAAAAACAGAAGAGCAAAATGGCTCTATGAAAATCTCGAACTTCGTCGGTCCAATTCACCACCAAAAATAGAAGAGCAAAACCTCGTAGGTTTGCTTTCCAATACACCACAACTTATAATAAAAATTTGAATCAAGAGTTAGACCAAAACTTTATGTAGCCTTAGACTCTGATTCAAGAGCTAGACCAAAACTTTATGTAGTCTTTAGCTCTGATACCATGTCAGATTAATTTGCGGAAGTAATTTATTCATCAGCTTAAAAGCAGCTATATATCTATGTACAATAATTAGCTTTGAATTAGGAACTAGCAATATGGGACAAAATAACTATTCTAATAATTTAACTATACAAGGCCTAATAAGCCCATTACTTCTCTTAATAAAGGGTTTAATATTAAGAGATGTTGGTATGATAGAAATCTGGAATAAGGGACTAACACGACTAATTAACAAAGGAGGTGAAAGTACATAGAAGAAGCTCCCATTATGTTCGTTAGACAACACTAATAGAGAAAATAAGCAAGCAGCAGATTTATTGGCAAAAAAAGCTATTTTACAAAATGTTTTATGTAATATTTACAATAGTCCGCCAATATGGCTTCGAAACTTATTGTATTCTCCTTTTACTATATGATGATGATTGATAAAATAGATGTTACTAAAAAAAAGATCTCTGGAATAAGGGTTTTAAATAATGTAAATAAATTATATGAAATAAAGAATATAATCAAAATCCACATGTAATTGTATATATTCTAAATCAAAATCTTAAAGGATAGGGATATGCGTGTATAATAAGATATCGTAAAGTAAGACCTAGAACGTTGTTGGTGAGGTTTCAGGGGTGAATAATATGTTGAAACCGCTTCTTCTTTACTTCGGCTTAGTCCATGTTGGGTTTGAGATTGCGTTACTGTTAGAACAAGCGATTCCAATACTGTTAGAACAAACAAAACAAACATCCCGACGATTCTTCAAAAAAAGAGCCAAGAGATATGAAGGTGAAGACAGGATCAGTGCGTTGCCGGACGATTTGCTTGTGCGGATATTGTCTTTAGTCCCAACAAAAGATGCAGTGCCTACCATGATTTTGTCTAAACGATGGCGTTCTATTTGGACCATGGTCCCAGCCCTCCAGTACCTAGAGATCAATAATGGTACTCGCGGAATAGTTATTGCCGGTTTACTTGGCCGTTTACTTGACCGTTTATTTGGCAAAAGTGATCAGAAACCGCGGTGTATTTGGCGGTTTATTGACGGATCCCTACAACATCACAAGGCACATGTATTAGAAACATTAGCTATACTAATTGGTGGACACTGTCCCGTTAATACTGATGTGGGAAAGTGGATTGTAAATGCAGTTGATCGTAGGGTGCGCGAGCTATCATTCTTTCTCTCGTGGTCCGCAGAGCCTACCAGGTTGCCTACGTGCCTTTACACGTGCGATACTCTCGTCTCTATGGGTCTTTACGACAAAGTTCTTGTGGATGTTCCTTCTCCTGCTTGCTTCCCATCCCTCAAAGCTCTCGGACTTTACCATGTGTTGTATAAAGATGAAGATTCTATCGTTAGGTTTCTATCGAGTTGTCCTATTCTCAAACATTTGGCCGTGCACCGACATTACTACGACAACGTGAAACGTTTCAAAATAAAAGTCCCATCTTTGGAGATCTTTTGGTATGAATGTACCGGCTACAAAAATATTGAGGGAACTTTGGTTATAGATTCTCCGGCTTTAAAGAAACTCTTTATCACATATAATTCAGCAGGTTTTTGCTTGATTGAGAACAAGCCTCGCTTTGAGAAAGCAACAATCAATGTTGATTGTTACCTTGATAACAAGTTTATGAGATCTATTTCCTCACTCAAGTACCTCGAATTACATTTGAACTTTGCAACGGTATGTAGTTGCTCTTTCAGGTCTCACTCGAATAACATTTGTAGCGATTACTTATTATGCTTGGTTGTGTTTATTTCAGGTTGCGTGTTGTGACGCTATTAATTTCTCGAAGCTTATGGAGTGTAAATTAACTCTTGCAAATGAGTTGGACTGGTTGGATCCACTAATGCGTTTGCTTGGAAATTCTCCTAATCTAAAAGTTGTTTCCATCGACCAGGTTTGTACATTCTCCCTCATGCAGTTTTGATCGATTAATTATAAAAGTAAAAGTAAATGTGTTACATTATATATGTTCTTCCATGTTGCTTCACAGGCACGCAATCGACCTGAGGAGAATTTCCCACTTTCATGGAACCAACCGAGTTCTGTTCCGGGATGTTTGTCAGCCCATCTCGAGATCTTTGAGTGGAGAGGATATAGAGGAAGTAGAAGAGATAAAGAAATCATTAGATACATTCTTGCCAACTCCAAGTGTTTAAAGAGAGCTGGTATACATTTGAATTGCAGGCGTATAGAAAGAAGGAAAATGATGAAAGAGTTAGAATCTATGCCTAGGGTTTCAACATCATCTCAGCTTCTCTTCTCCACTCAATTAGAATATCTGAACGTTCAAAATGAAATGACTGACTAATCATCTATATCCTCGATCATATTGTGCCATCATTAGTTAAGATATTATTTTTTGTTAGATTTTTTTAGTTATTACGAGTTATCTGAATGTTAAGGTCAACAGATTCGTTGAATTATTATCCATTGTCATAGAGACATAGACTGTATGGTCTTTGCTTTATAAGACTTGAAAGGTGGTTAACTTTGAGTCAGTTTTTATCATTTTACCTTCGTCTAATAAATGAATGATCAAACCATCATTACACTAATTATCATTATGTAAGTAAGCAAGTGTTTTGCCTCAATTGACCACTGAAAGTGCAAAGAAGCCTGAAGACTTGTTCTTTTATCCTCCGTCTAAAGATCAATCTGTGAACACTTGAGTACCGTTAACGAGAGGTTGCTGTTCCGAGTAACCGATACTACTCTCATCACTCAGGATGCTATAGTCAAAATCATCAAAATCATCATCATCATCATCTTCGTCTTCTTCCTCAGACTCTGTTTCTTCTTCTTCTTGACTCACCAAGTTAGACCCATCTTTTCTTCTCTCCATTGTCTGCTTAATGGCATCATCGTAAGACATATCATACCACACATTGCCTTTCCCAACGATGGATTTGTTGTGTGCATCTTTCATTCTCTCTTGCTTGCTAATCTCTGAGTTCTTTGGCTCTCCCCAGTAGTCATACTGGTACAATGCGCTTGTTGGATCGTATTGATCTTTCCCAAAGAAGCTTCCTGGCTTATACCTACCCGGTTCCTCCAATGGTAAACCAAGTGCTTGACGGCTGCAACATAAATCTTTAACATCAACACACTTTTTCGAACAAAACCAAGATAAATCTCTCGCTTATCAGCTTTGATTGAACTTGCAGTGTAATGATTGTTTTTTACTTACGAGCTGATATCTCTGAGCAAAGCTTCTCTTTCCTCCAAAGATCGGCGCCAATGTAAGGAATCATACTCGTCCATCTCAATGTTTCTTCTAAACTTGTGAATTTTGTATTTTTCTCCCCTTGCTATAGCTTCCATCCTTAGCTTATTGTGGTGCTGCACAATACAATAGGAGAGATTTAACTATTGTCAGTAAAGAGATTCATACAACGATGTGAATCTCACGGGTTGCATTACAATGAGCTTAAGCAAAACGACAGATAACCGGAGTTACCAAGACAGACACAAGTAAAACGTAATGAAAACAATCAAACTCGGTTTGGTAACCAAGTTTAAAAATGTGGATACTTGGACATATTAAAGAAGTTAAGGGAAATGTAACCTTTCGCTCCGTTAAGGCAGCCTCTAAGTCAAGTTCCTTGACACTGGTTTTCTGTGAAAAAAAAAACGAGAAAACATTTAATCATATAACTTAGACAATATTGTTTCATCAACACACCAGTAGAGAAAATCTCACCAGAATCACTTTTGGCAATTTGGTTTTCTTGTAATAAGCTTCGCCATACTCGATATCCTTTTGTTCATCAAAGTCTTCGTCATCAGATAATTCTGATAGTTTTTTGCCTTTGTAATTTTCAGGGTTAGCTTCGTAATCATCCAAAATCATTTGCTCAGCTACATGTAATTGCCACAGCTGCAAACAGAAAAAAAAAAAAAAATTGCTGAAGACTTCACAGAAATTACAAAGCCTATATAGTCATTTTAGCAGAGCAACCGGTTTAAACTCCAAACCAACACTATTTTTCTTAGTATAATACCTTGTCTACATATGGGTGATCAGAGAGCAGCCCTTCCTCCTCTGGCTTCGATCCTGGATCTTTTCTAGGCTCAGGAGGTCTTCCACAATCTCGCTGCACAAAAATAATGTATATTAAGTTAAAGAAAGAGACTTCTAGGGAGAAAGAGATGAACGATATCTGAATCACGAATTCTACTAACCCGTATCTCATCTGGATTATCATCCCCATCACGATGGAATATTGGTGGGAAGTCAAATCTATTAAAGCTGAAAGCAAGATCAGAGAAAAAAAAAAAAAGTCAACACACATACATGAACCAAAACCGTTTCAGGACAGAACATACTTCACATGTAAAGTGAAATGAAGACGCATGAATTGCATACATCATGTGATCTATATTAGGATGGACGAAGCGCAACTCCAAGGGAAACCGAAACCGGTATGGATCTCTTTTTGCCTTGACAAAATAAGAAGAGAAACAATGAGCATGAAAAGATTCCATTAATCTTTTATCAATGTGAAAGAGAGGTTTATCTCAAGAGTACCGTGATCTCGACGATAACATGCATCCCTACTTTTATGAAATGCCGGATCCAAAACCAGTCATTACCTTTTATAGGAACCCACCTGCAAACCAATAGACACATAAACTGAAAAATTTCATATTAAACATATGAAACTTTCTTTGAATAGATTATACACCCCTCAGTACAACAATCACGGAAAGTTTAACTATATTCACAAAGTAACAGCACATAGACATACCCTTCATGAACACCTCCAATGTCAACAAATGCTCCCTGATACAGATGTAAAGTGGTAACTGTGCCTTCACAAATCTGCATGGACATTATGAATATTGCTCATAAAACCAAACATCTGACTAACCATTTAGTCACAATAAACAATGACTAGGTGTAGGATTCTTACCATCCCTGGATAGTAAAAGGGAAGCTCATACTGCACAGAAAGATAGAGAAATTAACTTCAAACATCTCATTAGCTAGCAAACTAGTCAAAAATAATCAAAACAGGAGTAGGCTTTTTACCATCCCCTCTTCGTAGTCCTTCCCTCTTTTCCTTCTACCTGGATAAAAATCTTGATCGTACTGCATACATTAAAAAAAAACATCATCTTGATTAGAATCCATCTCTCAGCCATTAAGCTGACATTGTCTCATGGTTCAAAGTTCGAACTTAATGGTCCAAATTACAAAAACCGCACCTTGTAGGATTCTTCCTCTAACCTATCTTTATTGGCTTCGACCCATTCATTGTATTGTTTCAAGAAAACCTTGAACCTCTCCAAACACAAGTTATCAACAGCAGCATCCTCTCCTACCTTGAGGTCCTTGTCCAAATCCTCTAACCAGACCCTTTCAGCCATTAACTTATGAGCTTCCCTTATGAACTCAAGCTCCTTCCGATCAACTTCCCAACCTCTCGGCGGCCAATCCCGCGGCGGAATTTGCCTAACCACAAGCGGCCCAGCCCACGAGGTATCCAGAGGCGGCGGTTTATCTCCTCTGATCTCGAACTGCTTCGCGTACCATTCATCCTCCGTAATCCCCATCTCCTTAATCTTCTTCTTTCGGTACGACGGTCTCAGCATCTTGAACGCCTCGATCGCCTCCGGTGACTGAAGCGGAACTTCCTCACCTTCGTTCAGCGATTTTCGAGCGAAATCGGCTTCTGGTGTGAGAATCTCCTCCCAAGGAGCCCAGTCACGCTCGATCCAATTGCGCCGGCGAGCTTCGTCCTCCGTGTCTTTGTCCTTGGGTCCGAACTTCTCGAGGAAGGTCTCGTCGACGGGGAACTCATCGGAGCTGAAGCCGCGGCAAGGCGGCAAGGCAAGGCGACGAGGTGGAGGCAATTGGAATCCGGGAAAGAGAGATTTGGGTTTGCAGAAATTAGGGTTTTTGGGATTAGGGAAGGTGAAAGTAAGCGTCGTTTGGCAAATCTGCATGATTCACCTTCTTCTTCAGGGTTTTGAGGGGTTTTAGAGAGTGAAGAAAGTCAGTCCAGTGTGAGGATAAGCTAATTCATTTTGCAGTGAAGAAGAAAGGTTTAATTTATGAATGAACCCCATATTTGTGAAAACATTATTTTTTGACCCCAACAGGTTTTGATTATCAGTAAGGCCCATAGTAAATCTCATAAAGTTCTCTCTTGCACTGGAGTCCTCCTTAAACACGTCCATGGAGGTTAATCTTCTTTGTAATTATTGTTCAGATGGCGATGCAGATGCAATGGCTTCAGGGTCTGAAGATGATAAACAAGAGACAAGAAGAGATGATCTTTGGGATAAGTACAGTACTGAAATGGTTGAATCTGCCCTGTTTTATTGCAAACTATGCAGTTTTGATGGCAAAAGCGTTGAAGATTTTACCACGCATCTCAATCGTAGTGATCACGAAGTACTGCGTGTAAGCATCCTTGCAGGCCTCTTGTAAATATTTTGTCAATATATTCGTCATCGTCTATACCTATAGGGTCTGTTTGAGCCCAAGTTTCCTTTTAACACTTGTAGTTAGTTATGTCTGACTTTCAAAGAAAATATCAAATTTTGACCCTATGTTATCTTTGTGCATTTGGTTTGTCAAGCAGGAGCTAGACATGGGCCAAACGTTGGTGTGGTGAATTTGTTCTGAAGTGAATTATGCTTCACTTTTCTGAAAATTAAAACTTTTAGGTTAATGATACTAAGGGTAAAGTGCACAGAGATGATGGAAATAATTTTGATCTCAGGGACTTGAAGACTAAGTGTTGGAGATATAATGTAGGCAGAGAAAATTAAGTTCATTTGACAGGCCTTGTAGTTGTTTTGCTCTCCTCATAACATAAAGACGTTTTATATTTGTTGTGGAAAAATTGAGCCTCGACAAAGGAATTGTAGAAGTTAAAGAAGACTATAAGATTTTACTTTAAAAAACAATCGAGCCTTTTCTCCAAGGGGAGGACTCGAATGCTAGCTAATTAACTCGATGACATTATAAGGATTAAGGAAAAAAAAAACCTTTGAGACAAAGTTGACAGCAATAAAAGCATAAGAATGAATCGGACAATACAAGTACATGTAAGATTTTTTGTTGTTGCAGACAAGTACATGTCAAAGAGGCATTCACATGACAACAGAAGAGTCAAATTGGCGATTTTTGTTCTTCTTATTCCCTTTTTGTTTTTTCTTTTCCTTCTTATTCTTATTCTCCTCCTTCTCCTTCTCCTTCTCCTTCTCCATATCCTTATCCTTATCCTTCTTACTCTGTGTCCCCATCGAGGCCGTATCTGAAGATGATGAACATTGGTTAATTAAGTGAATGGAATTGAAATGGATCCCTGCCAGATAGCTCAAGTGAATGACTCTCTCGGGTTGTTTTTGAGACCTAGGAACAACTTCAATGCAAGGAACATCTTTCATTGATGTAATGAGTAATATCTTGACTCCATAGACATCTGCAGCTGCTTTCAACGTGACTTCATCTCCCCACACAGATTCATTCGACATGTTCTTTACATACTCGGAGAAATCGGTTTTACCAACTAATCCTTTGTAAAATTTTGGACGAGATTTAAGCTGCTTCATGATTTCTTGTCTAACACGTTTGTGACAATCCGAGGTTTTGTAGAGCTGGTCGGCTAAAGCACGGAACTGGCAATTTCCATCGCTTTTCACTTTGATCTCCGAGTAACCTTCCCACTCCAATCTATCCTGAAGCCTTTCGTAATCGTTAAGATCTTCTAAACACCTCGACTTAATCCGTGTGTTAGGCATCGATCTCTTTTATCTAAACCCTAAGCTAAACACTGTTCTTCTAATTCTCAGCCGAAAAAAGTTGTGATCGATCGATGAGATTCGGTGCCAATCCTCAGATATAAACAGTATCTCTCGCCTCTCTCAGAAATTAGGGCTATATCGTTTAGGGTTTTCTCCTTTTGTTTTTTGTTTTCTTCCTTTTTTTTTTGCGGTTTTCGCCGAGATAAAGAAAGGGCAAATTAATATCTGTTTGCCCTAAAATACTGTCGATCGTAAGTGTTGTTCCTCTCTCGCCGTCTCTTTCCTTGGCTCTGGCGTTTCAGATTCGATATTAAAACGAGGTAATTTAAAGTCGGAAAAATACGAACGAGAGATGATGCACAAGCAGGAGGAGGATAACACGTTTAAAAGGCCTTCTGATTGGTTATACTGGGACGTATTCAATTTTGATGGCAAAATCTCTAAAGATTCAATTTTTATACGGTGGTGTGGTGGGACATAGACAGATGTCCGGTTCCCGATGGTTATGATGCTCGTCTGGTCGGTCCAAGTATAAAACAGGAACTGAAGAAATTACACTTTGTTGTTCGGTCCTCCACTCATCATCAATATGCCGTTGGCAACCTAAATAAAACCCCTCATGATGTTCTTCATGCCCTCTCTTCCTCTGGAATCCTTCTTCAACAGTACTACGTCGATGGTTTGATCTTCTTTCTTTGTAATTAGTAGTGTTTTAGATTCAAACTCTGGTTTTGCTATTGAGTTGCTTTCCTTTTACTGAAACTACTGGTGAATCTGCATGGTGTTTCATACAATGTCGAGATATGCACGAAATAGCTAGACACAAAGGCTTATATGGCGAAACCTTTCATGGCAAAAGGCTTTAACGATTTCATCGAGAGTCTCAAGAGTAGAGGCCATTTAGTGATCCTAAGCAATATCCTTTGTGCACAATTTTCCTTTTCTCACCTCCTTGTTGTCATGTCTGCCTTTCAAAGAATATTATATATCTCGATAACAGTTTTGACCCCATGTTGTTATCTTTGTGCATTTTGTGGTTTTCACTGTCAAAGCAGGAGCTGAACTTGTTCCATACGTTGGTATGGTGGGACATCAACAGCTGTCCGGTTCCTGATGGTTATGATGCTCATCAGGTCGTTCCAAAGTATAAAACGCCACTTGGAGAAGAAGTTAGGCTACAAAGCTTGCCATTGGCGACCTCAAACCCACCTTGAAACAAACCCCTAATGTTCTTCCGGCCATCTGTTCCTTTAAACAAACCCACCTTAAACACGTACCTGGAGGTGTTAATCTTCTTTGTAATTATATTCATTACTGTGTTTAGATTCAACTGGCTGTGTATTGAGTTGCTTTTCTTTTCTGGAACAGGTTATAAATCCAGTTGGATGGAGTTTGTGCGTTGTAAACGGCATTATCCACGTCTGTTTAATCTAATACTCATATAATCCGGTGATGTGGGATTCATCACCCTTGCTAAGCATAGATACGACGCACAGGCAACACTGAAAAGCGTTCTGGAAGGTGTACGTTTGTCCTCTCTCTCTAATTGTTGAAATAACCAACTAAGCTGTTTCTCTGAACTAGTTTTTTTCTTTTTTTAAGGGTCTGATGATGATGATGCAGATGCAATGTCTTTAGGGTCTGACGATGATAAAGAGGAGACAAGTGGAATTGATCTTTGGGATAAGTTCAGTGAAACGGTTGAATCCTGGTCTGTTTTATTGCCAACCATGCAGTTTTGATGGCAAGAGTTTAGAAGATTTCACCACGCATCTCAGTGGTAGAGATCATGAACTGCGTGTAAGCATCCTTGCAGGCCTCTTGTAAATATTTTGTCAATACATTCGTCATCGTCTACCTATATGGTTTGTCGTGCTGGAGTTGTTTTGATATCTCAACTTGAGTTTTTTAGAGCTAGTTTTGGTGAACTGAAATCTGATTTTTGTTTGTCAAGCAGTAGCTGGTCATGGTCGATACGCCTCAAAGCTTTGATACGTCTCCAAGCTCTAAGGACCAAAAGGACTTGTGAGCCATTAAACAGAATGAAAATGTATATCTCTTCCTTGTAGCAAGCGCCTCAGGCTTCACCATTTGCCTAATGTAATAAATAATGTCTCATTTGCTCTTTTCTATGACTTTTTTTAAAAAAAAATTTCAACTGAGAGTTCCATATGTCTCTGATTCGAAACGAAATATGAAATATAAACAAAAAAAAAATAAAGATCGGAGTTGCTGCTTTTGCAACCACAAAGAGATGCATCATTCATGGTTAGTCTAGTTAGTCTCAGTTCTTTTGTGAGGTTATAGAAGCTAAATGGATTATAAGTACGTTCACAAGATGAAGTAGCGCTGTGTTCACACCATCACCAATGGCTAGAATAGCATAGCTAAGAGAGTTAGTCTTTGAGAGAGAAAAAATGCTGAAGATTCTTCTCTCGGTGGATCCTTTTGTTCTTGGTTTTGGCAGCACCATAACTGTCACCAACACATGTAATGAACAAAACAAAAACACATTCATTCGTTTCCTTTATGAAGACGGGTAAGGAATCAAACAAAAGTATCCAGATTTAGCCAACAATGATCATGTAATTGCACACAAACCAAAAATATGCATAGTTTCTATAGACCCCTTACAAACAGAATCGTCTAGTTACACATGAACAACATATCTATAAAGTCAAGCTTGCCCAGTTATGATCTTACCAACCATGGCTTTATAAGTCTTATTGTTCTCTTCTTTCTTGGCATGTGAAAACTCCGGCACACACACACACATACACAAGAAGATCAAATCTGGTCGCATTAACTTAGGTACATGTGTTTACAAAAGTCAGTATCTCAGTCAATTTGTCGTATCAGACAAGTTCCGTGCTTGAGCTTGATTCTTGTACTTGCAAAACATAGATATTACTGATGGATTCTTGTTCTTTGCGTCTACAGACATTGCATCAGAGCCATTGCACAGAGTCACGTCATGTGTATCTGAAGGATTCTCAACCTCTTTATCTGGTGAAGGACCAACAACAGTGTCCAGTCTTGAGCCTTGCTTAAGCTTGAGCAGTGTTGACTCTACAATGGCATCATCAAAAGAAACAAACATGATGAGTCAAGGCTCGTAATGGTCAAAAGATCTCAAACCTACATAGATTAGATCCTTCTAATTCGAATTTACATCACAATGCAAATTACTCGATCACGAATTTTCTTGATTTGGGCTCATTTTCATTTTCCAGGATCTTGAAATCGAGGGTTTTTTCTGCAGGTCAATAAAAAAACAAGTGCTTGGAATCTGAAAATCGGAAAGAGTGTGAGTGAAAATACCGTAGACGGAGAGAGGATCGTCTTTCATGATCTTCGCCGGATATCTCTCCAGACAGTCCGGCGACGATGGCGGCGGTCTCAGCCTCCCAAACATCCTCTCTCTCTCTCAAATTCGATTCGCTGCTCCAATTTGAGGACAAAATAATCGATGTTGTAGGATATTTGTTTTGGCGCCTCGATCGACAAGAAAGAGCGGGAATCTTCCGGCGAAGATTATTTCAGGTCGAGCCGGAAAATTTCCTTCAGAGCCCAGACATAAAATTTCGGCCCAAAATTAACTATCATATTGGGCCCATTTGTCTTCATTTATTATGCTTTAAATGATAAAAAATTTGTTATCATCAGTTCTCCTCCAAGTTGGAAGAGATTCATTTCGTTCAAATAAGATTTTACAAATTTATTAGTACCCCCAAAATAGAAAAACAAAATTAGGTAACACATAGATAAAAAGGTTAAAATATTGATGAAATATCAATTTTTATGAATGTTTAGTTGTTTTATAATGATATGATTTGATCAAATCTCTGGTAAACTCTCTTAATAACAGTATTAACGATATATACAGTAATTAATGCAATGTACAAGTTAGATATCGTGTCGTGGGGGAGGAAAAATTATGTGTCAGCATATGCAATTCAGTATTAATCACCCTCACCAGAAATTATTTCTTGAAAATATGCTGAAGACACTTAAAAAAGAGTTCAATAAATATCTCTTGAAAGACCAAAGCGACGTCATAGTCATCGTGGCCGTTGAATTGTTGACTAGCGAATGAAAATCAACGGCTAAAAGAAGCCTTTTCGTATTCGGCCATGTACATTATGGGGGAAAAAAAATACTAACAAGTTTAGAAGAGAAGAAGAAGTGTAATTATAGAATCATACACTGAGCTCTTTTAGATTTCAATGTCAAGAAGAAGAAGCAATCGTGTTAAAAAAATCAAAGCCGTCACTGCTCCTGCACCTATTACAATAATTGATGGTGATTACTTCTCTCAGCCTCTAATTATAGAGACCCATATTTTTTTATTATGATTTTTGATCTCTTGGTATCTTAAATTTTGGGATTAGGGTTTTGGGGATGCGAGTTTCATCTTCGAAAGTTCGTTTTTTGTTTATCTGGGATTTTCTTAAAGACAAGACTGTTTTTATTCCTGGTTCTAATTCGCTCGACCAACCCATCATCATTAATTTGGCTTAGGAAACACTTTCTAAAATGTGAGTCTTGATTGATTGTATCAACTATGCTGAAAACTTTTCAGGCATTGGCGTAGTTTCTTGAAATTTTGACACTTAAGTTCTGGGAATTTTTAGTTCTGGTTTTGTATTTTTCGCAGAATTGGGGTTTTAATCTGGTTCTGGCTCTGAGGCCTAATCTCAAGGTTTGATTAACATGTCTATGATATGCATTTTCTTAACAGATTGTGTGGAAGATGAATATGAAATCCACAGGTCGTGTTGGAAGCATACGGCTGCTTTCAATACACGCGATTCAAAACCGAAACCAACCGAGGAGGAGCTTGAGATGTTCAAATTGACCGCACCTTGTTTCTATGAGGAATGTACACGCCGTGAAAGATCAGCAAGAAGAATCAAGTGCAAGTATTTAGTCTCCAAGCTCCGGAAAAAACTTAATTCCAACACATTTATAGCTTACCTAGAGTAAGAAATATATCTTTTTTAGTTGCAAAACACAGAAAGAATTGTGCTTGCTTGCGGTTTTGTTTATGGTTTTCTCTATAAGTGGTTTACTTATGTATTTACTGATAATGTGTGAATAGGGTATTATGGAAGGGCTTGCCGGATGAGAAAAGGAACTCTTCTGTGTACTTAGATTGTCTATGGTTTAGTATGTACAAAAGCGAAAGAACTAGAAGCAGTGTTTTCGAATCCATAAAGACAAAGCAGATCTTCTCAAAGAAATATGTGTTTCTTCCTATCGTCTACTGGTAAGTTAGATTTTGCCATCTATGTTCTTAAAAACAGTTTCAGAACGCAACTGTTTTAAGTCTATTGTTTGTTTTTATATATAAATTTCCTTAGGAGCCATTGGACTTTGTTGATCTTTTGCAACTTTGGGGAGAATCTTGGTGAAGAGAACAGTAAAACATGCATGTTGTTTCTTGATTCATTAGAAACAACTGACACTTGGCAGCGGCTTGAACCAGATATAAGAAAGCGAGTACTCTTTCTCTCTCTCTCTTATCTTCCATTTTTGAGCGAAGTAGAAGGATGTTTTTGTGTAAAAGCTTGCGCAATAATATGTTTGTGCTTCTTTTTGTCTTTCAGGTTTGTGTTGGACATATTCAGGATCGAGGGTAGAACTGAGAAACCGAGCTTGGTTGATGAGATCCCGCTCTATGTACCAGATGTAAAGACTGCATCTACCATGTTATTTCGGATTTCTAGTTGCTTATATCTCAGAAGTGGATTGATTTGTCATTAATTTCAGGTTCCACAGCAGACAAATGATGTGGAATGTGGAAGCTTTGTCCTCTACTACATTCATCGGTTTATAAAAGATGCCCCTGACAGCTTCAGCACCGATGGTTACCCATATTTCGTAAGTTTATCACCTCAAATAATCATTTTATCGTTGTTAGCGAAAAGCGTGTTTCGTTTTTTTGGGGAATCTTGAAATGTTTGCACGTTTTTGCTTAAATTTTGCAGATGAAAGTGGACTGGTTTAGCCATGGAGACTTGGAAGGGTTCTGCAACGAGCTTGATTCTTCGGGAACCGTTCGTTGACCAAAGTTTATAACTTTTTAACGGCTTTTTAACTTAGGAAGATTCAAAAGGGTAAAAAAAGATTCTGTAAGAAGTTACCCGTTGGTATGTAATCTCAAACTTCATCAGGAGGAATCTTAGGAACCCATTGTGGATAATATTTAACACTTTTTGGAAGTAGAAAGTATTCTGTAATCGTATCTGCAGAGGACTTAGTTGTAAGCTGCTGAAATGGTTCGTATCTTTCTTTTAATTTATCAATCAAAGTGTTTAAAACACCTTATACAGATATATCAAGTTGGTAATTGGCTCAGTAATCAGGAACAATGCTCTACTTTTCTCAACTCAAAACTTGCAATAGATATCAAAATTCGAACCAACACACAATAAGTTAGTTAAAGAGATATTGCTATACAGTAGCGACTAAAGCCAATTTCATGAAAGTTAAGCTTCTAGAGATGAATACTTGGCGAAGGAAGTTTAATCGATGTTATCGTAGAGATACCAGACGGTAAACTTATGTTCATTGGCCCCATTCTGTTACTGCTGCTCTCGCCGGTCGATTCTAAAGCTCGGGATGTTTGGAGAGCCATCTCGGCGTGGAGTTGGAGACATGACAAAGCCATCTAACACAACACATAAGCCACATTGTAACTATTCAATCATGTAGTAAGCTAATAATCTTTATTTCATATTGCTATAACCAAAATCTACTAAGAGTGGGATCTGGGCAGGTACATGGGAGAATGTATGACTTACCGTGTAGCAGTCTCGGTCGATGTCTGAGTCAGCTATTTGCATAGCCCATGTTCTGATCCATTCAAGAGCTCTGGAAAGTTCAAGATTTCCTTCAACTAAGGCTGAGACTATGTAAGATGGGTGAAGAGCAACCAAAACAGAAGATGCTGCAAAAAGAACGGCCCTTCGGACATAGGCCTCTGGGTGATTGCATACTTCCCTGTATTGAGTTTGTCAAACATATAACTCTTCATTATAGGTGCAAAAGTCTGGATAAAAGATCTATAATATAAAAAAGTGATGACCTACCTTCTTTGTAACATATCTAGAAGAGAGATAGCTAATGCAGATGCTTCTGGATGAATTGATGCACATTGCATACAGACGCCGAGCATGTGAACAAGTTTCCCAAGGACAACAAAGTCCCTGCCAAGTAAGTCGACACCATGTCGTTTCTTGTCAAACTCTCTCATGGCTGGAAGCATAAATGCTGCTGCATATAGTGGAAACCTATTTTGGGACCAGTCAGTACTGTTTTGATCTCTATCTACTGATCTGAGGCTCCACCTTCGAGTTTTTCCCTTCTTCGTCTGGCCAGGCTTCGACTGTAGCTCCCTCTCGAATCGGTTTGCCCAGTTTAGATGAAAGGACCCTGTCTCTGAGACCTTTTTCCACGGCGTACTCGCATTGCTAGGCAAATACCAGGGTTGAGGATCTGAAATATTTGATATCAGAGGTCCCCGCGCTTCATGTTTAGGTTTCAAGGTCCTGGAACTAGCAAGCTCTCGAGCTGCTTCAGCCATAACATCAAGTATCATTATGCGCTGACTTACGTCTACATTAGGCGAATACAGAATACTGTTAAGAGTTTCGAGGGATTCAAATGGACGGGTCACGACCAACGCAATTAGAGCTCTTTGCCGCTTCTCTTCTGCTGAATCTTCTTCACCTTCAACTGTTATATTAGAGCACCGAACCTGTACAATAATTCGAGTAAGATCACCAGCTATATGAGTCAGTTCATCAGGTGATGCTCGCACAAGATTTTCTGCAACATATAGAGCTTTCTCCACCTGCAAGACGTAATTTCCATAAATAAATTAGCATTTGTGTTGTTTCTTAATGAAAGAATATGCTGACTAAGAAGAGTCCAACCAAAACAATGGGAAGTTTTAACATCACAGAGAATTCTCTCTAGTTACGTACCCCATCAGCATCATCAGTTTTCCGAAGAGCTCCAACAACATCCACCAAGTGTGTAAATTCTTTCCCTAAATCCTTGTCATCGTCTAATAGATCATACGGCTCCAAAGATGTGACACTTGAATCATCAGAGCTGACACTCGCGTCATCATCACCATCATCTTTACCACTCTCTGATTCACAGTTTAAGGTAGCTAAATCAACTATTTCATCTGGATCAGCCAATACAAAATTAGATATGTCCTTGCTCTTGCGATTTTTCTTTTCCTTATTTCTGCTGCTAGAGTCATTTACTTCAGTTAAGGAGGCTGATGTTTTGGTTTCACCATCTTCGTTTTCCATTGAATTTGTGATTTTCCGGACACCTCCCACAGCCGTTTGCAGTTCAAGTTCCCAGTCAATAGCGTTCCCAGTGAATGAATCATCAAGGTACAGAGGATTCGTAGGGTCAATTACTTTAGAGAACACGAAGGCTATAGAGCTAGCCATTTTCCGTACAAGATCTCCTGGGTTCTCCAGTCTACCTGTTGGCAATAATAAGCACGAGAAATAAGACCGCAGAAGCGTTTCAGTTCTTTAACTAAGATTATAAGAGAGATGAATCTATACAGCTAACTCCTTGAAGAACATAGTGCATTACATCCTTCGTTCTATCTAGTTCCTCTCTTGACATGTTCTCCAGGCAAAGCCCAAGAGCTGTAGTTATATCTGCAACATATATTACGGGAAACAGGAGCCGAAAGACTTACACAGTAGCATGAAGATTAAAACATTGCTTCTCTAAACATTGATTAAACAATACGCCTACAAAACCTACGATATGTAACTAATTCAGTGGCATAAATCAAGGTCAAAAGCCAGATTAGGATACAAGCTTGCTGCTCTAATGAGACAGACTGCAGAAACTCCTCTTTTGACCAAACGGATGCTATTCGTTGCGTTGTCTCAAGCAGTCCATTCGTGATGTCACCTTTAGCAAGTTTATTAGTAACCGGTGGGCATTCAAGAACAGAAAACTGTAAGATCCATCGCAGACAACGGATAGGAAACACTTTCCACAGCAAAAATTTGTCAACAAATATGGACCTGAAAAATTAAGTCCACAAAATTATTTGCAAACAGACTAACTTGGGAGAAACCAAAAGACAGCAAAATGTTTCCTTTAAAAGATAAAATACATCTTAGTTCCAGTTCCTCGCCCACTTCTACTTACCATTATTTCACAATATTTTCTTTTGTATGTAAACGAAGAATCAAGCTACAAAAGAAAATTTTGCTTGCCTCACTGATGCCTGATGTTTTACATTGCGATGAAACAAAGTCCATATCGTCCAGAAAGCTTCAACATCACTAGCATGCTTAGCATATAGCTGATGTAAAAGTTGTTCAGCCATTTTCTCAACAGCATACGGATCTGTCACCGCTTCCACAGTTTTCGACCAAATCTGGTGTGTTGGGTCCAACTGAAATGTTTCAATCTCAACTGAACCCTTCTCTGAGTTTAGTAACCTCCTAAGATGAGCTAGGACATGAGGTGTTACTAAACTTAACAGCAAATCTGCAGATTAAAAACATTATTTGACGTTCATCAATCAAAAACACATCGCAACGCCATCCACAGCTTAACAGTCAATAATAGAGTACCATCGGTACTAAGAACATATATTATAGCATATCCTTTCTCCTCTCTTATATGAGGATCAGATCCCCATTGCAGGGGCAGATAATGAATACAAGCAAGTCCATGATAATTGACCACCCACAGAGAAACTACAAAATAGAACCGAATGTTTGGACAACACAGTAAGTTGAGAAGTGAAATGTTCGGAGCATATATACCTGATAATCCGCGTCGACAGATGCGGGAAAAAATTTCCCCCACAAATGATAAAACGATGACTGTGCTGTTGGCCTCAGTGCAGGAAGCTATGTCGTCCAATATGTGTAGGAGCTGATTCGTAATGTGCTTGAAGTACAAGCTATAAGACTCATGTTAAAGAACACTGACCTCAAAGCATTTGATAGTAACATAAACGGTATCTAACTACTTAACGAAGGCTAAAAATGCATCACACTGAAGGCGTTAGAGTTTTTGTGTACAGAGAAAAGGATACTGAGAAGAAAGTAAAGGCGGGGCTTTCAACCGTGCTTTATCAGGAATAGAGGTCAGGATCTGTGATAGTCTTGATAACAAAGGCTTGGGATTTCCATTCCCAGAATTCTCTCCTTGATAACAATAACCAATTTCTTTAGTCATCTTGAGCACTCCAGCATTTTCAAGCAAACACAATATAAGCAATCTGTCATTAAAGCAAAACCAAATCACTAACAGGCTATGAAGTTACTGCTACTAGCATTTGCATAAGCTAAAGTCTAAATACATCAGATAAACTGTCAAGATGGACGATTGCCGGTTAGGCCATTTTGATTAGTGTTATCGTTTACATCTTGAGATTTTCCAGAGAGAAAGAGTTCTTCTTGAGAGATCTATTCAGAAGTCAGAACATGCCTATACATGACTCAAGTACTTGACAGGTGATTTTTAAATAAACCTCTGGTCAGCACTGACGTTTTCCAAACACAAAATAATACCATTGAGCGTAAAATGTCATGAATCAAAAAAGTTGTTAAAGATGCGGAGATTTATGCTTACTAGTTACACAATCAGGAGCTCAATGGAAAAAGAAAAGGAAAGAAAAAAAGCCAAAACAGAAGAGTATGTTTAGGCACCTTTCTACATTGGTCTGGACAGAATTGGCATCAACGCCACCATTATTTTCCACATGATGTAGGAATGGAACCAAGACCTGAACAGCCTCGATAACAGGTCCATCTAAGAAGAACAAATCATACAAATGTTCTGCACTGAAATAGGGAAACAAGAAAGCCAATCCGAGGCAACATCTACATTTTAAAGAAAAAAAAAAAAACAAGAATTAGTTGAAGACAAATAAGCATAATTTCAAAATTAGATCAATGAACCATCAATTGATACAACTCGAATCAACCAAGGCTAACAAAATAGTATCTAAAATAGAACGAACACAGTAGCAAATTACAATGAGTAAGAAGCAAATCGAACAAAATCAACACACTTGCTAAGCATACCAAGCAACAAAACGTGAGCAAACGTTCGAAACGCAACCCCTCGGTAAAACGTTTGCGACCAGTCATTTCTCTCATCTGCAGAAGGAACAAGGGAGCTACAGACCTGTGTGGCGACCAAATACAGAGTCACAAGTAACCCATAGATTCCTAAACCATGAACGATGTGGGAAATTTCAAAATTAC